TGAGGCAGAAGGATTGCTTGAGCCCAGGAGTTTGAGGTTGCTGTGAGCTAGGCTGATGCCATGGCACTCTAGCCCAGGCAACAAAGTGAAACTCTGTCTCAAAAAAAAAAAAAGTTTAGAATATCACTAACAAAACCCAGCAAACTACTGCCTCTGTCATAGCCTTGTGCTTGATTCTGGTTTAAAAATGCACACATAGGTAGTTTAAACAAAAATTTTCAAACTACAACTAAAGGCAAGTTTGCCATCAACCTTTTAAACAGGTCAAATGTTTCAAAGTAGCATTTATTTTTAAGAGCACATTATGAGGTAGATTTATACCAAATATTCAGTGCATATATAATATAAAGGTTTATTAAAACCTTAAAATTTTATGTACGTATATATATAGATAAAATAAACTCACCTACAACTCTACATTCTTCTACGTGAAAGACTGAAAACAATTCAATTGAAAATGTAAAAGCCAATTACATTTTTTGAAAGCTTTACTAATTCTGAAATGAAGAATATCTGAAATGTCAAAAAATCTGTGGGAGGTAGTTTTGTTTTAATTTTAGAATTTTTAGTTATTTTACTAAACCATCTCCTTTATAGCTAGTTTTCAATGAATGGAAATATCTTCATTAGAAAGTAAGTAAAAGTTACTGTAACTTTTATTATTTTGTTTCCATCATGTTAAAATTATAACATCTAAGCAGGACCAGCCACATAATTTGCAAGCCCAGTGCAAAATAAAAATGCAGGCCCCTTGTTTAAAAATTTAAGGATTTCAAGATGGCTCTAACAGAGCAGTAAAACAAACATGGGGCCTTGCTAAGTGTGGGCCACTATATAACTGCACATGTCCAACACCCATAAAGCCAGCACTCAAAGTCTACTTCAACTGCAGCTGTGGAATATGAAGACCTTAGTTATCTTTGTCCCTTGAATCCCTAGAAATATAGTAGACTAGGCATTCAAATGTTTGTTGAATGAAAAATTGAGTTGTATGGCCGGGCGCGGTGGCTCAAGCCTGTAATCCTAGCACTCTGGGAGGCCGAGGCGGGCGGATTGCTCGAGGTCAGGAGTTCGAAACCAGCCTGAGCAAGAAGCGAAATGAAGAAGCAATATAGTATTTAAAGATTACGGGCGTGGCGCAGCGCGAGCGAAGAGAGTTTGAGGTTGCTGTGAGCTAGGCTGACGCCACGGCACTCACTCTAGCCTGGGCAACAAAGTGAGACTCTGTCTCAAAAAAAAAAAGAATGAATCAAAGTGGGTCATGGTGGTATGCGTGTAGTCCCAGCTACCAGGCAGGCTGCAGTGTGAAGATCGCTTGAGCCTAGGAGTTCAAGTTAAGCCGGGGCAACATAGACTCTGCCCCCTCTGAAAAGGAATGTGGGGACCCGTGTTAGGTCTGGCGCCAAGAGGGAGACACACAAAGCCTCATGTGGAGCAAAATGCTGTTTATTTGAGCATCTGGGTGCAAATGGGTGGAGGCAGAAAAGAGCATCCAAGCTGAGGAGGGGAGAGGCTTGTGTTTTACAGAGGGTTTTTCCTCAGGAGGGCTAAGGAAATAAGTTCCCCTCTTGCATTCCATTCCTTTATCTCCTTAGGGGTCTGGCAAAGGCTACGTGCCTAACACACCCCTAGGAAGAGGAGAGTGGTAGTTTTTTGTTTTTGTTTTTGTTTTTTTTGAGTCAGAGTCTCGCTTTGTTGCCCAGGCTAGAATGAGTGCCATGGCATCAGCTTAGCTCACAGCAACCTCAAACTCCTGGGCTCAAGTGATCCTGCTGCCTCAGCCTCCCGAGTAGCTGGGACTACAGGCATGCAGCACCATGCTCAGCTGATTTTTTCTATAGATATTAGTTGGCCAATTAATTTCTATTTATAGTAGAGACGGGTCTCGCTCTTGCTCAGGCTGGTTTTGAACTCCTGACATTGAGTAATCCGCCCTCCTCGGCCTCCCAGAGTGCTAGGATTACAGGCGTGAGCCACTGTGCCCGGCCGAGAGTGGTGGTTTTTATAGGAAGTTTGCATGGCAATTTGGGGAAGGTGAATTATGTAAGCCTAACAACATGGATATTCAGGATCACAGCATTCTGTAATATCCCATCTGACCTTTCTTGTTGGATCATACAGGTTCTTTAAGGAAAAGGTAATTTTTACACTGATCTCAAGGTACTGAATGAACTGTCTTAGCTGAGGCTGCCATATCAACATACCATAGACTGGGTGGCTTAAACAACAGACACTTAGTTCTGACAGTTCTGGAGGCTGGGAAGTCTAAGATTAAGGAGCCAGCAGATTTGGCTCCTGGTGAGGGCCCTCTTCCTGGTTTGCAGAGGTCAGTCTTCTTGCTGTATCCTCACAGTAGAGAGAGCTCTAGTCTCTTTATTTATAAGGTCACTAATCCCATCATAGGGCCCCCCCTTCATGACCTCATCTAATCCTCATTATACCTCCCAATGGCCCCGCCTTCAAATACCAAAACATTGTAGGTTAGGGCTTCAACACATGAATTGTGGGAGGACACAAACATTTGGTCCACAATGTGAGCTACACGATTGATGAGAATGTTCTTTATTTTCTCCTTTAACTTCCAAACACTGTCAGCTATCCTTTACTCTGAGAAATGACTAGCCAATTGGAGATAAAGTATGTGTGCATGAGTCAGGATTAGAATGTACAGGCACTCCATTTTTCTTAACCCTTTTGGTGCTGTTTCTGAATTGTGGACCTCAATTGAACAAAGTTGACTGAGAAGGGCAAGAAGAAAGTATTCTTTAAAATAGTCATTGACTGCTGCTTTGTGACTATTAGAAGTGTCATGAAGGCAGTGACTTGTTTTAATTGTTTTAGGGCAAACCACCTCTATACCTGCTTTACCCGTCATCAGTGACAGAAATGAAACAAACTCAGTTCAGCTACTCTATTAAGCAGTTCCTTGCTCCTGATGTAGAGTACACTAACAAAAAAAAATGCATGTGGTTACGAGATGCTACCTATTTGTTTCAGATAATACTAGGAAAAAGAAACTATTTCTCTTTTAAGGGTCATCATATCTATAATAATAGGTGGTTTATAGTAAGTAGCTTTCTCCTTTCCCTTGAGCAAAAGAAACTTCAGAATTTTCCTAGCCCTTTCAGACTTTTCTGGAAAACAAAGTGACTAAATAAACTTCCAGGTTTCCTGGGTCTCTCCACATCTCACTTCCCACTGAATAACAGCAACACAGTTTTGAGAAAGACAGAGTAGGGAAAAGCAGGTACATATGGGAAACAAGGTTTGCTATGCCTTGAGAAAGCCAAGGTGAAGTCCAAGAATATTAAAAGTTTGCTGCTGCTATTTGGAGCTCTTGAAAGCTTCTATCGCTTGCAGTCCAAGAACAGGAAAGGATGTTTTTGTTTGGTAACTATACCAATATATTTGAGTTTACATCAACTCAAACTAGAGGAAAACAGAATCCCTAATAATTTCAATTAGTGCATTTTACAGTTTCTTCCTCATTTATTTTAACAGATTTGATTTATATCTGCTTAGTGTTGTAAAACTGCTCTTTTAGGACAAATCATTTTGAGTTATGAGGTTCTAGACTTACAGAAAATATAGAACACTGGCTGCCTGAGACAACTTCCAAAGTAAAAATTTGAATGTTTCTGGGTTCCCCCACTGCCTCCCAAGCTGGATTTTAGATCCCCTTCTTTGGAATGTGATGACCGTCTCTTGCCTGGCTCCATCTCTGTGATGTTTGTGCTGTATCCTCTGGGACAGTGTGATCTCCTTGAGGGCAGCG